GCCCCACCTGCCCTGCCTTGCTCACCCTGAGGCTTACTTCACAGAGATTCTGGAGGCTTGGGGAGGTACCCTGTGCCCCTCAACTGGTCTTACCTTCACTGGGCCTCCGAGCGAGTGAGTAGGCAGGACTGGCTGCCTTGGTACAATCATGATTGACATAGCCAACGGTGGACGGGAGAACATATAAGCCAGGTCCGGAGCCTGAGACCAAAGACCAGATCAGAATGAGTGCTTGAATTGTCTGAGTAGAGAAAATGTCCCGGAGGACTGGCTGGGTGACACTCGAATTGTGAGCTATTCATGAATCACCGGGTCTGTGGAGACTTGGAAAACAGAGCCCAGGAAGACAGGCTAGCACAGAGAGGCTGGGAAACTGGTGGGGAAACTGAGGCTGGGAACAGAGCTGTTGTCTCACAGCAGGTTACTAAAGCTAAAGTCATAGATGCTGAATAGAGAAGCTATCATGAGTGGAAAGCAGATGGAACAGAGAGACCATCGCAAGAGAGGAAACCAGGGCCAGAGTATAGAGACCACTGCAGCTAGAGAAACTGAGGCTGGAGACACCATCGAGGAAGGGAAAGGAAACTGAACCCAGAGTAGAGAGATCACAGTTTGTGAGGGTAAATGGGGAAAGTGAATCCAGAACAGAGAGATTGTTTTAGAGGGGAAACTAAGGCCAGTAACAGAGAAACACCACCTCAGAGGTGAGGAGATGGAACCTGGTATAGATCTAACCCCACTGTCCATCGCAGGATGGAGAACTAGGGCTGCACCCTGCATCCTACACAAATGCACCCAGCACCCAGCCTCAGCCCCTTTCCACACTCCATAGCCCTGCAGCCCCCACAGGCACCCTCCCTCTAACTTCCTCCCGCGGGTTCTGCTCCACTGTATTCAACCTGTCTCCTGCAGCACAAGTGTGCAGGGCCAGCAGATCCCACAGGGGACATATGGGCCTGCCTGCAGATACTGCCTCTACTGAACATCCCAGGAGCCCCAACAGGGAGACAGGAGGAGCCCTGCCCAACAAGGCCAGTACAAACCATTCTCCAAGGTGGGCATTCCATAGGACTTCCTCAGCCCGGTCTCTGGAATGTGGCCGTCAGCCACCCGCCGGGCCAGGGGTACCGTGGCCAGCCTAGCCACTGGGTCGCAGCTGAGGGTCCCCATGGTGATCAGGGCCTCGTGTGGGCTCCTGAGTGCTGCTACTCTGGTGCCCCAAACCAGGCACTGTCCCCAGTCCTCACAGCTCAGCCAGTGTTGGCAGAAGCCTGGCCTCACCACACCCTCCCACCACACAGACAGCCCCTTGTCCCTGAGCAAGGATCTCAGGGCCTGGCCAGAGCCAGGCTGGTTGGCCGGACGCTGGCCTGGAAGTGGAGCTGAGATCAAGTGTCAGCCAGGTGGCTGGATGGTCCAGGAAAGACTCCAGTGTCAGCCGAACAGGTCTCCAGGGAGTTGGCTGAGCTGGGCCACCGGGCCAGAGCAGGCCCTAGGGAGCCAGGACCTCAAACAGGACACCCAAAGGAACATGGATGAGGGGAGCAAAGCCTCATTTCCACAGAGCCCAGGGTTGTGGACAGCATGTTCCCAACTCAGTCGGGTGCTCATTGGTACCAATCAACTTTCCTTCATTCATCAGCAAACATGTACTGAACACCTGATGTATCCCAGACTCTTTCAGAGTGATGTGAATAGAACAGGAACAGATTAGTAATGGGTAGGTGTTCTTGGGGTAGAGAGAGAAGCTAAACAATAAATTTAATAGACAGATTGTTCTGGTATGAACCAGCCTGGGAAGGATAACCTTATCAGGGTAACAGACCAGCTCTGCAAACTCCCTGAGGCAGAGCTGAGAACAGAGCAAGTCAGAATAATCCCACATTTTTACCTTTGCCAAAGGCTACCACTGTGTCCCCACCAGAGAATTCTGGGAAGATTGGCACAATCAAACTTAGATATTTCTTCCAGTTTATTTCTATGCTGATGGGCACTTTTATAAATGTAGTGACTCACAGTTTTTGCTTTGTATCATTCTGTTTTGTTTGAGACAAGGGCTCACAATATAGCCCAGGTTGATCTTGAACTCCTGATCCTCCTGGCTCTGCCTCCCTGTGCTAGAACTGCATTCAGGAGGTGACCAAGAACTACCTCCTTCTTCGGTCACAGACAATGGATACTCACATGATTAAGATTCTGAGTCCCTCAGAAACATACCAAAAGGCCTGAGCCCTGGGCGGTTCAACAAAGTTCACATCAGCAATTTTGGATTCTAGCTCCTGGCTCCTGTGATTCCCTGAAGCAGGGATCCAGGAGTCTCAGAGGGGCCCAGAAGCCCAGCATGCATGTCCTTGTCCTCTTGACCTACTTAATTCAGCTCCGCCCTGGTCATAACGGATTAGATGGCTGGTCCTGGACCCACACCCACACCCACACCCGGCGGCGCTTCAACTCCAGGTCCCCCCACCGATAAGAATTCCTCAGTCAGCGCAACCAGTTGAAGCACTCACAGCTCACTCCTCGGTTACTTGGACCCTCAGTTCATCAGCTCCCATCATGCAACACTCTGCTCTAGACCTCACCAGTCTAGGCGGCAAGGAGTAAGGACCTGCTTGTCCTGTACTCACTAGGACAGAAACCTAGGCAAGTACACTCATGTCTTTCTACAATGTCAGAAGGTACCAGATAGCAATAAGTTCAGAATGTCCAACGATTCCAGTGACGACCTCAGAAGGCTGACAGTAACTTTCACATCACATAGCACATGGTGAGTGCTCCTTTATGTCCATGAGCACTTTACAGGGTCTACAGAACAAGTTAAAGAGGCTGCCACAAGTTCACAGGGCTTGGGAAGCTGAGTAAGAGTCTGCATTGGGAAGACAATGAACCAGGCAGGACCAGTTTAGGCCTGCTGGGGTCAGGGTTGGAGGGTGAAGGTGCCACCTCCTGCCACAAGGTAAAAGACCAGTGAAGTGGAAACCTCTGGGTTCTTTGGAAAGTCGGTTGTGTCAGATGGTGTTTTGCTGGGGCAAACACATGAAGGAGTGTTTTCCTGAAGCAGACACAGGTGAAAGGATGTTCTGTTAAAGGAAGCACCTGAAAGGACACGTGACGGATTCTTTGCTAATGACAACACACAGGTATTGGTTCGCCTTACGGTGCATAGCTGAGCTCTGTTGTGGTGACTCTGTAGAGGCACCACCTCTGTGGGTGGTGCGCTAGATTAAAGCATTTAAGAACTACTATTAAAAACAGGGTTGAGAAAAATTTAAGCTACAGATCAAGCTGGGTCTGAAGTAGGGAAATGGAGGTTCAGATCCTGGCCCAGACGGACAAACAAGTGAATTGGCAGCCAATCTGATAGACAGTGTCAAAGAGGGGAACGGAACTGAGCCCGTGTGCCAGGGACAGTTAGGGAGTCCTCGGCTTGTTGGTCCTTGACACGCACACCAGGTATTCGGTGATTAGTCGGTGTGGGGCCATGACCCCACAGTGTCTGTCAGTTTATGGGATGCTTACGGGATCCTTGGTCACATGTGTCTGGTAAATTCTTGGTCCTGTTTTATCTGGTGTGACTTTAATATGTCCATGTATGCCCCACAGTCTTGATTCACCTCAATAAACACTGAGTTGCTCCTTTCAAGTACCAGAAATATGTCATGCCAACCATGTATCGCCCACATAGATGGTGCAGCTTCCAGGTCCATCCAGTGGCTGTGGTCATTCTTCTCCCTCAGAATGAACTCAAAGCTACATGGTAGCAAAGTCACCTAGAGGGACTCACAGTCCTCAAGTCTGTAACTGACGCACGCAGCCTTATCTGCTCCTGCTCTAGTTCCAAAATAACTGACACGGAGACCTGGGGTTTTGTTTGGTTTGGTTTTTATTTATTAAGTATACAATGTTCTGCCTGCACATATGTCTGCATAGCCAGAAGAGGGCGCCAGATCGTGTAGACAGTTATGAGCCACCACGTTGTTGCTGGGAATTGAACTCAGGACTTTTTTTTGGAAGAGCAGCCAATGCTTTTAATCTCTGAGCCATCTCAACTTGTATTTTTATTAACAAGCCTAAACTCGGCAGGTTCTAAGCTATTCTAACCGTTGAAGGATTAGAATACCCGTCTCTTTCTTCCTCTCTACCTGGGACCCCTGGCTAGGATCAGAGTCCAGCCTTCCTATTCCCTCTGCTCAATCATAGGCTGATCAGCTCTTTATTAACCAATCAGAGATCATTGGAGAGCATCCTCTACACAGATACAGGAGACGGTTCAATAATCATAGCAATGCTAACGTCCAGTGGACAAGACCAGCGCCCAACACAGCCTCAGGGAGATGCCATTGTCTTTTTTTTTTTTTTTTTGACAGTCTCAAGTTTTTATTCAGTGGATCTGTGTCTAGAAGAAGGTGTTGGGCCTCTTGGTGGTGAAGCGTGGCTTGTGCTGGCGCCACAGCACACGGTGGGGCAGTGGGAACTTGATCTTGGAGTCGTGGAACTGCTCGACAGCTGGCCGGCGGCACTTGCCAGCTGCAATCTCTTCCACCTTCATGATCTGGATGGAGTGTGCGCGGGCACGGTGCCGGGTCTGGATGGAGTGTGCGCGGGCACGGTGCCGGGCACCCATGTCACGGTAGCACTGTGTGACCGCGCCAGCAGTGGTCAGGTCCCGGTACTCTCGGTACATGTTGTGTGTGCCACTGCGGGAGTCATAACTCAGCCAGATGCCGAAGTTCTTCACACGGAGGGGTGACTTCTCAAACACCTGACCGCAGTACACAATCTCCCCGGATGACTTCTTCATCTTGTTCAGCTGTGACACAAAGTACCAGAAGCGGGACTTGGCCACCACATGGTTGGGTGCAAAGATTCGCATACGGTACAGTGGTGGTGTGTGGCATTTGGGGGTTGGCAAGCAGCGCCCTACCACCTTGTATTCCCGAAGCGTGCCAGACGCCTTCATGGCACTGCAAACTCGTTCACCACCACTCACAAAAGGCGAGATGCTACTGTCTTATACAGCACGGGGTAACTTACAACACGGCACAGCCTGAACATGCCCCCCATCCCCCACCATCCCCACCACCCCCACCACCCCCACCACCCC